TACCAACTTTGCACCCGAAATTCTCAAGGGATACCTGACCCAAGTTGAGAAATGGGTCGCAAAAACTGTCTGGTTAAGCAAGGCTTGCTTATACTATACCCTTAATTTCTTGGATGAATGCATAAAGCCCAAGTCGATGTGGAATCTTCTTAAACCACATACGGAGAATCTTATATCACATCTTCTTTTCCCGGTGCTTTGTCAATCGGATGAAGACATCGAACTCTTCGAGTCGGAACCCCAAGAATACCTCCACCGAAAACTGAATTTCTACGAGGAGGTTACTGCCCCTGATGTCGCCGCTACCAATTTTCTCGTCACTCTCACTAAGAGCCGCCGGAAGCAGACATTCACAGTCCTCAACTTCGTCAACGGAATTGTGAATAATTACGAATCGGTGCCTGATGACCAGAAGAATCCACGGGAAAAAGAAGGCGCATTGCGAATGATTGGAACCCTTTCCGGAGTTATACTTGGAAAGAAGAGCCCAATCGCTGACCAGGTTGAATACTTTTTCGTCCGGCACGTGTTCCCAGAATTCCGTAGCCCCCATGGATTCCTTCGAGCCCGTGCTTGCGATACACTGGAAAAGTTTGAGCAGTTGGATTTCAAAGACCCGAATAACCTTATTATTATTTATCGAAACATCCTCGAGTCTATGGCTGATCCAGAGTTGCCGGTCCGTGTTGAAGCTGCTCTCGCACTTCAGCCACTTATTCGGCACGAAATCATCCGAACATCTATGCAGCAAAATATCCCACAAGTTATGCAGCAACTTCTCAAGCTGGCAAATGAAGTTGATGTGGATGCCTTGGCAAATGTTATGGAGGACTTTGTGGAGGTATTCGCAAACGAACTCACACCATTTGCCGTCGCTTTAAGTGAGCAGTTACGGGACACATACCTTCGAATAGTTCGAGAGTTATTGGAGCGCAATCAACAGAAAGAAGACGACGATACGTACGGGGACTTCCTTGACGACAAGAGCATAACTGCTCTAGGTGTACTTCAGACAATTGGTACTTTGATCCTTACATTGGAGAGCACGCCGGATGTACTCCTACACCTGGAGACTATTCTTATGCCTGTTATTACCATCACCCTCGAGAACAAGCTATATGGTAGGTATTCCTAGGATATGTAACATTACCGTACTCACACTTTCAGATCTTTATAACGAAGTGTTTGAGATTATCGACAGCTGTACCTTTGCGGCGAAGAGTATCTCTCCTACTATGTGGCAAGCGTTCGAGCTTATCCATCGGACATTCAAAGCTGGTGCTGAGCTCTATCTCGAAGGTGAAAATCATCTCAAGCATTTCTATTGATTCCGCTAAGCCATGATAGATATGTTACCTGCTCTGGAAAATTTCGTCAACTACGGGTCCGAAACCCTTATCCAGAACCGCCCATACCTTGAAGCTATCGTAGACATGGTTCGAACCATCTTCAAAGATGACAAGGTTGGAGGCGTCGACCGGATATGCGGATGCAAGCTCGCAGAAATCATTATGTTGAACATGCGTGGTCATGTTGATGACTTCGTCCCAGAATTCATCCAACTTACCATGATTGTTCTTACCAACGAAGAGCCCAAGGTTAAATCCCTACGAATACATCTTATGGAGGTGGTCATTAATGGAATCTATTACAATCCCTTGCTAGCTCTTCACGTTCTAGAGAGCAATGCCTGGACCAACAAATTCTTCAGTCTTTGGTTCTCAAATATTGACAGCTTCACTCGGGTGCATGACAAGAAGTTGTGTATTTCTGCGATCTGCGCTCTTCTCACATTAAGAGCGACAGATGTGCCTATTAGCGTACAACAAGGCTGGCCACGATTACTCCAAGGAATCGTCCGGCTATTCCAAACCTTGCCCGCAGCGATGAAGAGTAAGCATTGAATACTTCCTATTTTCGAGAACGTTGCTAATGCGGCTATTACTAGACCGAGAAGAAGCTAAGAAGGAAGACAATTTCGATTTCTCTAATGAATACGATGAGGAAGAAGAGGAGGAGTGGGAAGGTGATAATGATTGGAATAATGATGCCGATGAGACTGAAGATGTCAAAGATGAAAGCGCAGCATATTTGGAATTCCTTAACGAGGAAGTATGTTTAATCATGCGGAATGGTTTTACAACGACTGACTTAGATTAGGCTCAAAAATTCACTGCCGTTAGTGATGATGAAGATGATGAGCTCGAGGAGGAAAGTTTGCTTGAGACTCCCCTGGATAAAGTGGAGCCATATGGCATGTTCAAAGATGCTTTACTAAGTATGTTAAACTCAATTGTAACACACTCTTCCATGCTAATTATATTAGGGCTCCAACAAGAACAGCTCCAGCTGTATGAGAACCTCACAAAAAATCTAAACCCCGAGGAACAGCAAGTGGTCCAAGCTGCCGTCCACCAAGCCGACGTCATCGCACAGCAGGTCGCTCAGACGCAGCAGACAAACGGCAATCCGATCGCTACCCAGTAGATGTCATGGCCATTCACTATACACTCTCCACCCACCCTCAAACCCGCCCTTATTTCCGTATCATTCCTCCACCGTCCCCTTTTGATACAGATCTCTTTGGTCTAGCGAGCATGCAAACCCACCTCGGCGTTGATGTTGTTTTTAGGCGGATGGCGTAAGAAAGCGTTTGTGTGTGTTTTCCCCGCAACGCGGTAGGACGATAGGAAAGGGGGAATCTATCTCTCTATGACGATACAATTTGTGGGCGACCAATGGAACGTAGTCATGTAGTTAGGAAAGACTTTTCTTCTGCTTTCCTCTTTGTTCCACCCAACTCACGTAGGTAGTTTGATTCAAAGCGGCTAGGGTACAACCCCTTCTTCATTCTTAGCGATTGCTAGTTTGGATTGAAGAGTTGTGTTTTGGAGCGATGGTTCTGGAGAAGATGGATAGATGAGATGAATCGAAGATTTAACATGCTCAGGGATCTGCTGATGGTGTGATTAATATGAATGTGGATTCGGGATAAGCGATGAGAAGTACCAGTTACTGTTTTGGAAATGATGTTGCTGAGCATTCTCGCAACACAACTTTATCAGATGATTAGCACCAAAAGATGGCTAGAGACCCATATCTATACTTCTATGAATCAAAGCCCCAAGGGTACCTCAGCCACATGTTGCAATAGTCGAGATTCTTGGACGTGTAAATCAAAGACTGCCAGGATCTTTACTATATTCGAAGGAGTGCACCAACCAGATTTTTGTATGATATAGCGTAAGATATACGTCAAAAAGACCCCTCAAGTTACCTCGACAGCCAAAATTCATTTTACAAGAGTTAAGATGCTGCCTAAGATCCCTCAAAACTCATATATATAGCATTAGTAGCCCATTTACTTAACTGGGTGTTTCTGCTGCTGAAATACAAAGAACATTAGCGTTAGTGACCTATGAACTATTACTAATCTGTTCGTAGATAAAGGGCATAAATGCGCCGTAAATTCTCTCGTTTCTGAACTATAATCTCAGTGAACCTTAGATATTCAAATACTTACCCAAGCGAGGTATTCACTTAGCACGTGGCATTTCATTTCACGCTTCCAGACGCGGCATTCTCAAGGGAATCTTGCATTCTAATCTGCCGTAACAGCAGAAAATGACTCAATCTCTAATCAGCTGTCAAAAGTATATCTAGCTAGCTGATATGAATCAGGCGCATCACGCATATAAAGGAAGTGAGCATAGCAGAGTAGGATACTTTCCAGACGATAACCCCTATGTGTGTTGAACAGGATATTGTATCATGCTAGAATTTACTCGCTCACTCTCCGGAAGGCTATGGGTATAGGTTTTTTGACCGCTGCTGGATGAGGTGAACCACTTACCAAGGTACAGGCAATAAGCAACTGGAATGGGACATAGTAAATGCAATCATAGAGAAAAGAGTATGTAGGGCGGCGACTTGGAGATCTGATGAATTCTGGTTAAGGAATAAGTTTCCGGGAGATTTATCATTCAAAGTTCAACAAACTCAACGGTCCTTAGTTATCTTTGAGGTTAAGAGTGGTATATAAAGGAGCTCCCTAAGGTGAAAACCTTTTCTCAAACGCCCAAGATTCGATATCTTCTCGATTATATTCTAAATAAAACGATGATGCGTGCCTTTTACATGGGTAGAAATGAAGGGTAGCTAGCACCACCCCCCCGTATGGTTTATTGTTTGAAGGGAATCTCGGTAGATCTCCTAATTTTCCACAACGGCTCATAGAACGAAACTCTTCTTCCTATACTGTAGAGATTTAGGGTCTCCCATTTTCTAAGTATTGTTCTTAGACACCGAATGTCCATTAGAGCCTATTTGCGGGAAATTGGCAGCATTTTCAGTTGCAGAGGAAAAATTCTCGTCATATCTACGTGGTTCATTCAATCGTGCGAACACTCGTTGTAGAAGCACAGGAAAACAGCATTTTGTCCTTCGGCTAATATGCAGTACCAAAGCCGTCTAGAAGTCGTCGGGCTGGATCCCCTGTTCATTTGTTCTAGGGGCAAATTTTGCTTTGGTATGGTTGGATAGACCAACCGGGAATTCCAATTGAGTTCTACTACGTAAGGCTTGGGGGGGTTCCTTGACAAAATTTTCTGGTTTTGCCGGCATCGTGCTCGCGCCTTGTTTTGAAGAGAAGAACGGTGATTGTAATCGCCCGGGGCAAACAGCACTGCAGGACCATTTTGAAGGACACAGGAGCGTTGGAACAGGCAAAACCAACCCACATTTTTTAGAGCAGGCGCTTGCTGTATTTCGGCCTGCGATATGAGAAGTATTTATCTGCTTAATATCTTGCTTTACAATTGAAATGATGTTAAAAAATTAGCTATCTGGTGTTGTTGGGCTCGCCGAGCTCCTCACGCTTTTCGTCGGTTGAATTTCTCCACTCAATGTTGAACTATGATTCGCTGGGCGACCAGATTTTCTCAGCCATCGTTTTTCTTAATTCTATGTATAACAGTTAACTTTCACCATTTTCTTCCAACGGCACCATGGCCTAATGGTAAGGCGGTAAGTCGTAACCCACATATTTTCCACTATGATTAGTTTAAAACTAATCACGTGATTTAGCTACTTTCCGGCTTTGGAGCATGGTAGAGATTGAGGGTTCGAGTCCCTCTGGTGTCGATTTTTTGGTTGTGGATTCTGTACGGGGTTAAACTTTTTTTTGGGCTGAGAACTCGACCATTTTTGAACCCGACGCTAGCCTTTGGTATTCATGGTTCAACAAAACGTGGGGCCGTCTCAGGCGAAACCGTAACGTTATCGATAACTGACTCCCGAGCTTCGGTGCGAAGGAACGCTGCCCGCCTGGGTAAGCAACCTACCTAGGTAAGGATCACGCGATGGTAGGCTTATGGCTTTTCGCCTAGGTATTTATTCGCTTGGTGTTGTCCTTTGTATAGCTGGCTTGTCCTCGAATTCCCCCGACCTGCTCCTACGTCTCTCAGAGTTTTTGGATCTGGTTTTTCCTCGTGTATGAGCTAATTTCAACCATGTCTCTGCACAGGCTTCTCAACCCAGTTATCAACGCACGGTACGCTCTGCATGCTTGCCCTATAAAGAAACATGTCCGATTGACTGAACTTTTCAGGCATGCAATTGTGCCCAACCAAGTCGTCTCTCAATCAAGGGTTTCCCGAGTTCTTCACCAGGTTTGTGAAAAAAAAATTAGAACAGTTCTAGACTGCTTATGTTGACTTTGAGAAAGACGCGCAGGAGGTCAAGATGGATTGGCGGTCACAAAAGCCTAGCTCAGCCATTATCTTCAATAGCCCAGAGACAGGATTCTTCTAGCGACCTCAGAGACATTCGGTTGGCCCATCAAAATTCGAATGTACGTTCTGCAGGCTTCTTGGTAGTCAATATGGCCGCATCCATATTGGTCATTATAGGCCTGACTATTGGTAAAGCATGTGATGCAGTTTCCTCCGAGTCTCCCTGCCCTTAGTCGTCCGCTCGTGCATGAGAACTCGATTATGGCGTATTCGGACAATGCTAATAAATTCGTGAGCATGTGGGTATTAGCTTCTACTTTAGGGCTAGTAGTTTTACTAACTTAGAACATTTCTAACAGCCCGGATATATGGCTACGGTACTGCAAGAGTCTCTAATATTCGGTGCTCCATGCTCATTCGAGTAGGGATAATTGCCAGTGCAGCAGCTGTGTCCATGAAATTACCAAACAGCGTCTTCTTGACACATTCCAGGTACTCGCGTTGCTGCCTTGCGCTTTCAAAAATCTAATGAGACACCTAAGATTCCAAAAGATATATCGATCAAGTTATGCGTAGAAGAAGATTATGGTATTCGAGTTTCTTGTGAGTACCGGTTTGTGCTTTTGCTCTTTCACGAATTGACCAAGAAAAGGGAGTGACGGCCATGAAAGCTATTATACAAGTGATTTCTTGGCTAAGAGCGCCTTGAAGAATAATCTTGTGATACGGCAAGGCCTTGCTAAGTGATATCAAACCGCTACTCTCACCAGTGATCCTCCTGACAAGCTGTAAGAACCTCGTTATGGACTAGCTCTATTGAGCGCAACCCTCCAATCGTGGAGTATGATTCTGTGATTAAATCAGATGTGGGCTTGAAAGATTGGCTATGCAAAATTGTATACTCCCGTTCGATGCTAAGAATTAGCCCTCAGACTAACAATAACTTAGCGCGAATTTGGATTTTGCTACGTTGACGGAACGCCGCCAACTCCCGAAGATACTGAAAAACTCTTGGAAAGAATTGCATTCATTCGTAATACCCATTACGGTAGGGTCGGTCAGCGGCTCATGCGAATCTTGACTAATTTAGCGCCAGGTGGATTCTACGATTTCACAGCGGACCTTGCTTCCAAGGACACGGCTTATACTTCGATAGCGCTAGATGCTCACACTGATAATACGTACTTCTCTGATCCCGCCGGTCTCCAAGCTTTCCACCTTCTTTCACATACAGAAGGTGACGGAGGGGCTTCGCTTCTAGTAGATGGCTTCAAAGCCGCTCAAGACTTAGCAAAGCAGGATTCAGAAGCATACGACTTGCTTAGCATTGTCAACGTGCATGCGCATGCCAGCGGTAACGATGGCATAAGCATTCAGCCTTATAGAGCCTTCCCTGTGCTGCTTCATGACCCTCACACTCATCACCTGGTACAAGTTCGATGGAACTCGTCAGACCGAGCTGCGATAGATATGCCACTTGAGGAGGTCCAAAGGTGGTATGATGCTGCAGGGTGGGTACCCTTTCCTGATGGCTCAACTCCGTGAATTAAGCAAATTAACGAATGAGAATTTATGTAGCAAATGGTCAAAGCTTCTACGATCTTCCGAAAATGAATATTGGTGCCAACTGGCACCAGGAAGAGTCTTGGGTAATTAATTTTGGAGCTTTGAAGAGCAAAACGCTGATCCAAGGTAGTCTTCGACAACTGGCGGGTCCTCCACGGGAGATCTGCCTTCACGGGCAAGAGGAGAATCTGTGGTGGTTATAGTGGGTGGAAAAACTTCTCCTTAGAAGCTAAAGCGCTGATAGTGGTTAGTTAACCGGGACGATTACTTATCACGGTTCAAAATGTTGAATTGGGGTCAAGAGGAGGTGTTGAAGTCACTTGCGGTAGCATGAGAGGATTCGTACTACTGGGGGATAAATACAAGGGAAAATATGATAGTGAAAATGAGTGGTCATACGCCTCTTGTGAATGGAAACCTACCTATGGTAGGTATGTTTGTTTCCAACCCGTTCCTCTGCCTTCTACTTGTCAGGATGGGCGGGCAAACATTTTCGAATTACACTGAATCGTCGAATCATGGGCGTATGTACTGTAAATATTTATATATTGTAGCTACGATAAGATGTAGTAGAGATAGGTGTTTGTGATTGTGAGCTATTATGAAAAAAGAAGCGTTTTTCCGAGCAGCTACTAAGATAGTCACGGTAGTGAAATGGGGACACCGAGATCGCGCCAAGGCTCATGTCTCGCTAATCCCTGAGCTTCACGTTCGTAAGCCAGAGCTGCCTACCTAGTAACAGCCAGTTCATTATCAACACCCACTCCCTACATCGTCTTCGATTGCTAAAAACCACGCTCAGCCGAATTTCTCCTCCAAGCTTTTAGCTCACCTAGCTCATCTCGCACTTCTTCAACCTACTTGCCGAAGCAACCGCCACCGCCATGTCAACGTTAGAAGACCTCGATGATCTTGAGCGTGAGGAGAAGGAGGACAAGAAGGACGAGAAGAAGAAGGATGAGGGGGGGAAGGATAGAAAAAAGGGCGATGGTGATGAAGAAATGAAGGATGCAGCCGAAGAGGAGAAGAAAGAGGATGTTTTGGACGAAGACATTCTCAACTCAAGTACACGAGACATCATAGCGCGGAGGCGACTTCTGGAGAACGACACTCGGATCATGAGGAGCGAGTTCCAGCGGCTAACGCACGAAAAGGCGTCGATGCACGAGAAGATAAAGGATAACTTAGACAAAATCGAGAACAATAGGTATGCTTTTCCACAAGGCCAACGGCCTGCCTCTCCCGTGTCCATGGGGTTAATCGCGTAACATAAGCTGACTTCTTTTTTCTATAGGCAGCTACCATATCTAGTTGGCAACGTTGTTGAGATACTTGACCTGGATGTCACCGCGGAGGCGGCTGAAGAGGGCGCGAATATCGACCTTGATGCTACTCGCGTTGGTAAATCTGCCGTCATCAAGACTTCAACACGACAAACTATATTCCTTCCTCTGATTGGCCTTGTTGACCATGAGAAGCTTAAACCCGGTGATTTGATTGGCGTGAACAAAGATTCATACCTTGTTCTAGATACCTTACCCGCCGAATATGACAGCAGAGTGAAAGCCATGGAGGTAGACGAGAAGCCAACCGAGAAGTACACGGATGTAGGAGGATTAGATAAGCAGATTGAAGAGCTTGTAGAAGCTGTAGTATGGCCGATGAAGGAGGCTGAGAGGTTCAAAAAGATCGGCATAAAGGCACCTAAAGGTACGGTATCATTTAAAGATTTCCTCACATTTCTATATCGATTAACCAAATATTTTAGGTGCCCTAATGTATGGCCCGCCGGGTACCGGCAAAACTCTCCTTGCTCGGGCCTGTGCCGCCCAAACTGATGCTACTTTCTTAAAACTTGCCGGTCCTCAACTCGTCCAAATGTTCATCGGTGATGGTGCAAAGCTTGTTCGCGACTGTTTCGCCTTAGCGAAAGAAAAAGCCCCCTCAATTATTTTCATTGACGAGCTTGACGCTGTTGGAACGAAGCGATTCGACTCCGAGAAGTCTGGAGACAGAGAAGTACAGCGAACCATGTTAGAACTTCTAAACCAGCTGGACGGCTTTGCTTCCGATGACCGCGTTAAAGTGCTAGCGGCTACTAATCGTGTAGATGTGCTTGATCCTGCACTCCTGCGTTCCGGCCGTCTGGATAGGAAAATCGAATTCCCACTTCCGAATGAAGAGGCTCGGGCACAAATTCTGCGCATCCATTCCCGGAAAATGACGGTGGACGGGGGCGTGAACTGGCAAGAATTGGCGCGTAGTACGGATGAATTTGGTGGTGCGCAGCTGAAGGCCGTCTGTGTTGAAGCAGGTATGATTGCGTTGAGATCTGGGCAGCAGAAGATCAGTCACGAGCATTACGTGGATGCCATTGCGGAAGTCCAGGTAAGATCCAATATATGTCCCATGTATATATTATGAGATGCTAACATTTTGAGCAGGCGAAAAAGAAAGACACGGTCAATTTCTATGCATAATGGAATTTACGGGCTTGCTTGGGATTTTGATAGCACCGAAATGCCGCAAGGGACGGCGGTTGTACTCATATCAATAGACAAACAGACATGGTTAAGAATCAGTCACTGCTATGGGGCATTGAAAACTTCCTAGTCTTCATCTATAAGTAGCCACTAGCGTCAAGATACCGGGGAAGAGTGCTCTGTTGATTTACTGGTGTGACATAGCCTGAGTCAGGTCTAATAGATCCTCTGCCCTGAAATTTACGATCTGTTTGGCCTAGTTACGAAATAATATTGGCAAGGGTAAGTACAGAGAACCTTATACTTATAAAAACTCTCGGTAGGCTGACGTACGGGTCTCGGGCCTCGATCTAACGCGCGA